AGCAGAGAGCCCGATGCGGGGCTTGATCCTAGGACTCTGGGATCATGACCTGAGCCGAAGGCAGAGGCTTTAACCCACTGAGCTACCCAGGTGCCCCAGAAGATCATTTTTAAATAGAGTGTTCTACGTTAAGAACATACATACTGATAGACACGGTGCTATTATTTTGAAGTAATATACTTTAAGGATGATAGATATGCATCTTTTAGGGTGTGTGCAATTTAAAAAAATTTTTAGGTGAAATTCAATTAACAAAATTAACCTAACCATTCAAAAGTACATAATTCATTAACACCTGCAATCTTTGCAACCATCTAGTTCCAAAAGACTTTCATCACTCCAAAATAAAACCTATATCCACTAAGTATTTTTCCCCATTCCCCCTTTATCCTATAGTTTTTATACTCAGTGTAAAACAAAATTGTAGAGCACCTGATGTTGAGGAAACTTAGTAAGTATATGTTTTCTTGGAACATTAGTAGGAAACGTATGTAACTCTGTAATTCAACATTTTCTCTCAAAAATATCTTCTGTGACTTTATTGCTAAAATTGATATTCTTAATTTTTCAATATGACACATTAAAAACTTGAAATTTTTTACATGTATGCTTATACATATACACCCATTATATGTGATGAGCCACTTTATGACAAAAGCTAATAAAAGAATAGTAAGGTGTCTTAAGAATATTAAGATGGCATCAACTTTTTTTTTTAAAGATTTTATTTATTTATTTGACAGACAGAGACCACAAGTAAGCAGAGAGGCAGGCAGAGAGAGAGAGAGAGAGGAGGAAGCAGGCTCCCCGCTGAGCAGAGAGCACGATGCGGGGCTCGATCCCAGGACCCTGGGATCATGACCTGAGCCGAAGGCAGCGGCTTTAACCCACTGAGCCACCAGGTGCCCCGATGGCATCAACTTTTTATAAAATTTTAAGAAATGTTGGTTCTTCCTTCCCTTTTTTTTTTTTTGGTTCTTCCTTCTTTGTAGAAACTTTTAAATTAGTGGTTTGAAAGGGACAAAGTTCTAAATCAGGTCATGGACCTGTGAGGGGCAACTTTCTGTTGTTCAGTAAGTGAACTGTGGTAGATTTCTCCGTGTTAGGTTAGTTCAGGACAGAAGTTGCCCATAGCCACATCCTCTCCCCCTCTACCATCTCACCCTGCAATAAGAGAGGGAAAGTTACTATTTCCTCCTCAGTAGAGAGGAGGATGTGTCTAGTTCTAAATGTTGGGTTGAGAGCCTCTTGTGAAAACTAACAGAAGTCCGATAGAGTTTGTGTAGGTGTTACATCATCTGATTGTCTTAACTATCCAGCAAGTGCAAATAAGTTGCATTTCTATGTTCTCTTTGAAAATCCTGCAAATTTTCTTTGAGCAAATGAAGACCAGACTCTGATGGCAAAATTAAGATACTTCAACATTAAAAATAGTAATATTTAACCTAGTGTTACCTGTGTATTATCTCACTTGATAATTTTTTCCTGGATGGGGCCAGATGAAGTAGGCAATGTCTGTGTATATGCATTGCTTGTAAGGAGTGAGTGTATGGAAAAAAAAATTTTTTTTAAAGGAGTGTATGATGTTGGTATAACTGAATTAGGTGAGGCTGGAGTTAAATTTCATAACTAACACTCTTCCTTGGCCCTTCCTAGTTTTAAATCAACAGTATTTGGAGGCCCTCGCCATGCTTGATGTCAAACAGCAGATGGTGGCTCTGGAAAATGTGTGCCACAATAAAAGTGGTTTTACAGAGGTTTCAGGTCTTGAGGTGGGTAAACAGGTTGGAAAGTTGAACAAGAGGGAAATTTTCTACTTTCCTTTTCTCCATCACCATCTGCTCCACGTTCTAGAATAGCACTATCCTTAGTAATTTGAGAGTGAGGGAAGAGAGGCCCATCAGGTTCCCCAGGGGAGTTCTGTAGACTTACTGGCACCAAGCATGTCCATGCATTATATTCTTGGACACTAGATGTGTTGGCCACCTCCTGCCCCTTTTAGTTCTTATTTTTATAGTTTTAGCAGAAGCTGTGTTAGCTGTGTCTCACATTCCATGATGACAGGTATTTTTTAGAAGTGGAAGGATGATTATTCTCCTGGCATATTTTAAGTCATTTCATCATTTCTGAGCACGCACCTCTCCCTGGTGGGAACTGGTAGGAGTAGATGCTGGGCAGCAGGACCAAGCTCAGTCACAAGAAATAACACATGGTGGGTGTTAATACTCTCTTCATTAGTTCAGGTTGCTGCCAGGGATACAGAACTATAGAAAACTGATACCCACTTAAAGGTTTTAGAGAAGGAAAAGCAGCAAGATAGAATTCCTTTGTTTTGTTCCAAGTAATAACATTGTTTCCTCATTTGTAATTTTCACTTGGATCCTGAAATCCTTGTCTCAGCTTTCTTCTATTTTTTTCCTTTCCAGGTTCTTTGAATTAGATGCTTGAATAGAAATGTGCATGTGTGTGTGCGCCCTTATGTTTGTGTGTGCAGCTAGGCAGTATGACACTTAGTAATGGGAGTAATGCTTTTGGATTTAAAGCTTGCTGTCCTTGGAGCCTGCCTTTGCCATGGCCCTGGAGGGAGTCCCTGCGCCTGTGCCAAAGTGGCAGCATCTGCTCACAAAATGCTTCTTAAGCTCAAACAGGAGGTATTGTATTATCAAAACACTAAAGAATTGGTTTTCTCCCGTAATAGAATAAAGGAAAATATCTGCAATAATTAGCTTCATTTTAGTAGTCATTGGTTATGGAACTTATTCTTAGTTTTATGTGATAGAATTAACTTATAAACTAGATTCTATTTACATGGTTCTAAAATACAAATAGTACTTGGCCTGATATGGTGTCAACATGAAGTTGTTTGACCAAGTCTGTACTAAATTTATATTTCTTTTCTCTATAAATGGCCCTAAAAATTACTATACTACACACTCTTGCTTAAAATCACTAGGATCCATAACTCTGATAAATAGGGAGATAAACATGAAGCTCATTAGAAAAGCAGCAAGATACAGTGGAAGGAACCTTTGTACCAGCCAGACCTAAGTTTGAGTCTTAGCTCTAGAATTTTCTAGGTGTGTGGGTTTAACATATGTTAAACAGAGAGTAATAACTAGTTACTAGGCTCTTGCAACGATATAGAGGAAGCAGACATTTAATGTTTCGCATAGTGCCATGCAGGTGCCTGGCATTTAATCAAAGGACATTTGCCATTATTATTAGTTTTAATAACAAATACAGAACATGGACCATAATTTTAAACATATTTTACCTTTATTGAAGTATGGAATTTTAAGTCTTTAGATATAGGAAAAATAACAGTTAAACAGTAATTCATTAACAAAAGTATATGATTACACATCAGAGTCAGTGTCAGCTATGGCGGGAATGTAAAAGATGATACTCGTAATTATTTTCAGTGATATTGTTTGGAATGGCCCAAGGTAGTACTGAGATTCAGCCTTTGGCATCCTCCTTTCTTACTCTTTGGGCAGGACACACACAGGGCTGTCTAGGGTAATATGGTGAGGTCTAAGAAATGGATTAACAAGGAATGGTCAGGCAACACGAGGAAAACTTCTGGTAATTTAATTCAGAGAGGGCAGCTACTATAGAGGGGAATTAGCAAATACTAATTAGTTTAAGCGGATGGACTAGATCAGACACTAGACTCATACTAGGCAGGGAGACTACATTTGCTAATCTGATTCAGCATTCAGGCAAGAATTTTTATGTTTTGCCTCTAACACCTCTCAAACTTTTTTTCAAAACTAGCTGGGGCTTTTGCAGAAGAGTAAAGAAGAAGCTTACATAATGGCAGATGCATTCAGAATTGCATTTGAGCAACAATTAATGAGGAAAAATGACCAGGCACTGAGATTGACACAAATGGATAAAATGTATAAAAAAGGAACAAAATGGATAAATTGGAAGCACCTTAAAGAGGATGGTAAATATGAATTATAAAGGCAATAATGAGGTGTAATTTTAGTTGTTTCTGGTTATAATCAAAGTTGATTAAGCACAGTTAATGCAATGGATAATATAATTGAAATATCACAAGAGAGTTGTGATTTATTATAGTATTTAGTAACTGCAGAAGAATGGGGAGACTGGATGTTACATATGCAGAGGTAATAGGATCACTGAAATCTTAAAATAACAATCTCTCTTTTTTTTTTTAACTAATCATCTGTCTCATTTAAACAAGACCATGTTTTGTGGGAAAACTTTGTAAAAGTGCCAGTTGATTAAAGGGAAACTGCCTAGGAAATAATAATGAAAATACTAAAACCCAACATTAAATGTATCTAATTAAACTTTGTTGAAATGTGTGATTCTAAAGAGATACTGAGGGGTAGAGGAAAAGTCTTAAGTTGGAAATACTAATACTCATAAAAATGAAACAGAAGTTTAGGTTTTGGTTCACAAACCTAGCAAAGTTCATGGCTGTTTTTTAGTACTGCTGTACTAGAGGAAACAAAGTATATATGAAAATGGCATCAAAGAATAAAATTACAGTTGAAGTATATCACCCAATATAATCCAATTAGCTATTACTTTTTTAGAAATCTTAGTTTCTCTAAGTATGTCAGTATGTTTTTATCAGAATTATTCAGTGCAACTCTCAGCGCTTTAATTTAAAATTCCAATTAAATTCCAATTTGAAATCTTTTATTAGTCAAGGGAGATTACAGTGAAGTTTATAATTTAATATTAAAATCATGAGAGGACTGTATTTCTAAATGTTTTTAATATGTCAAAATCCATAATCCTAATTCCAGTTTCTCTCATTTTCAGATGAATTTGGGTAATAAGAACCTTATAATATTAAAAATCGAACTTTTAATAATAACCTATTGTGTTTTAAATATTTTTTTCAATAGTATATATTCCTAATAGCAACACTTAATGTGATATTTTAGCTTCACTAACTAAAAAACTTTACCTGTCTCTTTGCTGAAATGGTAAAGTGCTAAGCTTACAGGAGTAATAAAAATAGAAGCAGTGAACAAGTATGAAAGTAGACAGAAGCAGATCATAAGAGTTTCGTATTTAGACTTTTCATCAGGGAGAAGTCAGGGCAACACAGGAAAACATATTTCTCAACATTCATTCTTAAAGAGGCATTCCACACTGTCCTGAAATTAGTTTCTAAGCATTTTTTGATCTGAGACTTATAAAAGAAATCACTGAGCTGGCTAATAATAATGTCTAAGTCTGGCTCAAGGGAGGTGATTCTGCCAGAGAAATAAGCAAATATAGTCCATATACTTAGGCTTTTAGGAATCGATGGAAAGTCTTAAGAGTATCTGCCAGGGACAACAAATGTGTAGGTGATCTTCAGGCACCTCTTCTAAATTAGTCTCTTGATAGCAACTGGACTGCTAAATTTTCAAAGGTACTGTCTTTGAGGACAGCCTTGGTGTTTTGTGATGCAGAGTGAAGGTAAATCCCTTTGGAAATCTGATTTTAACTGCTTGTTTTGATGGAAGGTAAGGAGGAAAGTTAGGGGAGAAAGAAAATGAAGGGAAAGCATGGTTAATCTTACAAATGCCTGCCGCATTCTGTCACCTGGCATAGAAGACCTCCCAAAGTGTGCATGCAAGTTGGCCACAAGGGTAGTTAGTGATAGGTAGAAAAAGCTGTTTTTTTCCTAAGAGGTAGATTCATATACATTCAGCACTTGAGTATATATATTCTTTCATATTCCAGAACTTCTGCCTTTCTTAGCTAATAGGAACCTCAAGAACTTTTCTATAAAAAATATGGTTTAATAGGTATAGCTCCTGATGTTTTCCATTAAGACCCTGAAGAGACTGGAAGCAGAATTTAAAATAACTGGTTCATCCCAGAAAGGCCTTTACAAGTCCATACACATGTCAGTAGCTCTGTCAGTTTTTTAGTGATAAGACTGATTTTATTCATGTTTTTCAATAATCTGAAAAGGTACAGGATGACTGTCACAGGTCATTTTCTTGTATGTGGTCAACACGTTAAGAAGGCATCAACTTTTGTCATTGATATGCAGCTTAGACGAGTTCTGAGAGAGAGGTTATAAGCATACTTCTTTTTTTTAGACTGCAAATAGAGATTCATCCCTCATCACAGCTGATGAGCACATCAGCTTGTCTGGCTTTTCTCCTTTCGCCCCGGTTGCTGGAGGAAGAGGACATGAGTGAGCTCCAGTTACTGTGGTTTATCAGGATTGGGTGTAAAGGGAAGTGTCTCTTATCTGTTCTCTGTTTTCCATTAGACCACTTGCAGAGCATTCCAAAGGCATTCTTGATGTTTCTTTGTGTAAATCCGTAATTTTTGTACCATCTGCTATAAAACTGCATCCTTTCTATGAAGAACATCATCAGTGTACAGATTTTAGGATATAGACTTTAAAACATTATGTCTGTACCTGGGCTAGTTTTCACAACTGTGCTGTTATTTTTTAATTGTGATAAAATACATATATAAAATTTTACCATTTTAACCATTTTTAAATGGTATTAACTACATTCACATTGTTTTATAACCATCACAACCATCTATCTCTACAACTTATATTTTCATCCTCCCAAACAGAAACTTTACCCATTAAACACTAACTGCCCACTCCCTTCTCCCAGCATTACCCTCTGCTCTATTATTTAATGGCACAGCAAATTCTGAGGCATAGGTACTATTATTCTAGAAGTGAGGAAACAAAGCTCAGAGACCTTGTCCAAGGTCATTTAGAAAGTGGTTAAATGAGGGTTCAAGTCCTGGTCTTTCTGCTCTAAAACAGAATTTGCATGGTTCAGAGGCCATGTTTTGTTGGGTGTGCACAGTGTTCTCAAATAACAGGGGTAAGTGGCTGACATGTAACACTGGGAGATTTTACATACAACACTGGATTGCTACCTCCTCTGGAAGGCGGCTGTTAATGTGGACTGCCTGCTGTCCGGAGGAGCAGCAGTACAATGAGATGGGAGTGGCAAGCAGGGAGGGCATTGCTCTGGGTCCTTAGACTGTGGCCCTCTCAACCTCCATTTGCCATCCTGGCTCTAAAGTCTGTGTTCCCCTCCCAGTACACTGTGATGCCTGACTCACTAGAGGCCTCCTGAAGAGAACCACCTCCTGATTGATTTACAAATGAATTATCCCTGGTTCATACTTACCTCTATTCCAGGAACTATATTAGTTGAGTGTCTTTTTATGTCTCAGTTGGATTTGCATGTTCCATTTTAGGATTACCATCACAAGGAAATAAGAAGACCTTAGGGCAGAAACTGCTGCAGATGCTCCCTTCAGAAAACAATTCTAAGAAGACCCAAGACCAGAATAACCCTCAGGAAGTCTTTAAGATGCTAACAGAGTTGGTTAGTATCTTTGCTTTCCTTTTGTTACAGGTTGTGGTTAAGTTAATCTTTCTGCTTCCTCTTTTTAAAAAATGTAATTCTTTAACACTCTGTACTTGCCTTTTATGCCCTTTTCCCAGCTGATGTACCATCCTCCAGTTTTGATCTTCATCTTAAATTCCCTGCATGCTCTTCCCACTTCTCCCATTCATGTTCTTCCTGTACAAGTTTAAAGCTTCACCTCTGAAAAGAGGGGGCTCCCCTGTAATTAACTGCAGGCACCTCTGTCATCTGCACGTATGCATACAATCCATGCCATTCAGGAATTTTTAAGGTGTACAAGGCAACTTTCTCACACATTATATCCTTTAATCATCACTACAACCCTGAAAATCAGTCCTATTATCCCCGTTTCATAGATGACTAAACTAGAAGATTCATGCTATAGGAACATACTTATCTATAGAAGTGTTCAAGTTATTTATTCTCATGTAAATGTATAAAAACAATTTCACATAAATAACTTCAATATTCTCTTGCAGAGGTAAGTACATGTTAATATTATACACACATATATACACACACCATGTACATGTTTTCCCCTTTCTTCAGATGATCTACAAAAGCTTCAGCAGAAGGAATGCTGCTTTCTGTTCTTACTTTAAAAAAAATTCTTCAGAAATGTGTAGTATATATTTGGGAATCAATAGATACCTAATTATTTACACTGACTGAAGATAGAACATTTTGAGAAAAATTCTTCTGACTATAGCTCTATATTCTGTGATTTACTGACTAATGGGTATATTTGTATTTAATCTTTAAAAAAAGATTTATTTATTTGAGAGAGAGAGAGCATGTGTACAAGTTGGGGGAGGGGCAAAGGGAGAGAGAATCTCCAGCGGACTCCCCAGTAAGCACGATGAACCCTGAATGGCGGACTCGGTTAGATCTCATGACCCTGAGATCGTGACCCAAGCTGAAACCAAGACTCAGATGCTTAAATGACTGAGCCACCCAGGCACCCCTAACTAGTATAATTTTAATTTTTGTATGTGCAGTTGAATGATAAAGAAGAAGCTCTGGCTCATCAAAGAAAAGTTAGTTACATGCTTGCTCGGGCACTGGAAGAGAAAGACACCACCTCAAATAAGACTAAGGGAAAAAGTCCTGTGAAAGACAATTTTCCATTGAAAAACCGCTGGGGGAAATCTTCAGAATTCCCTAAACTGCATGATCCTGTATATTCAAGTGTTCAAATTTTAAATTCTGTGGGCTGCATTTGTTCAATCCAGCACCTTCACAGAGACCAAAATTGCACAAGAACTCTCAAAAGATCCTATTCTTTGCCATCAAATATCATGTTTTGAAAATAAACCAAATGAAATCAGAACCAAGAGCTGTTTCTATCAAGAGACTTTAAAAAAAGACTGTACAAATGTTGCTTCATCTTCAGAAATCAAATATTTTCTGGGTCTTTCTAAGTTTTAGAAAGCAGCTTAAATATTCAAAACATTTTCTACAAGATATTAGTATTGTGCTGACATATTTTATAAATTACATTACTATACCTTATGAAATTTCCAGTATTTGCCAACATCGTAAAAACAACAAAAAAGTGATTTTTGAGAAAAACAGTTATTTAACTACTTAGATTGACTACAGGGATCTTTGGTTTAAGTAACAATATAAATTAATCCTCTAAGAAGTAACAATGTCGACAAACCATAAGTGACTCTTAATCTCACAAAACAAACTGAGGGTTGCTGGGGGGAGGGGATTTGGGAGGGGGGAGGGGATTTGGGAGGGGGGGTGGGGTTACGGTCATTGGGGAGGGTATGTGCTATGGTGAGTGCTGTGAAGTGTGTAAACCTGGCGATTCACAGACCTGTACCCCTGGGGAGAAAAATATATGTTTATAAAAAATAAATAAATAAATAAGTAAAAAAAAAAAAAAAAAAAGAAGTAACAATGTCTAGGATTAACTGAATGTTAATTTTTGGAATACATATATCTTGTTTTATTGGTTTTTTTTTTTTTTTTCAGGATTTTTCATGTGCCACAGAAAGTTTAGTAATCTCCTTAACTTCAATTAAAAAGTTACTATGGTGGGACTTTGGCAGAGTATATTCAAAATGTTGTTAGTTACCTTTATAGCTTCTTTTTTTGTTGGTGTGTGGGGACACTTTGTGAATGCCAATTCTAGAATTCACACCATTCTGATTTAACTTCTTGGTTTTGATGCTGAATTTAAGCCATTTAATTTTTTTCCTTTCTATAAGTGTTATATAGTAAAGATCTTAAATACTTTTTGGGAATGTTGCTATATTAATAACATCACAGTTATGTCAAAGGAAATATATTACCTTATCAGAAGTTTTAATAAAACTTTTATCTAATTACGATCTCTAGTAAAAAAGATACATACGTGGCTTGGCTACGTTAAATACTAAAGTAGATGAGGTAACAACAGGGTAAAATAAGGTAACAGCAGAAAGTATAAGCCATTTATTGTTGTATTAAAGCAACACCATTTAGTTGGAATTAATAAATATTAATAAAAGATAAAAACTTGGCAAATAAATTTTGAAAAAAGGAGTAATGATGAGGAACTGCTACTAGACATTAAAAGTGCATTGTCCTGATAGTAATATAAAGCTACCTTATTTAAAACAATGTGGTACAAGCAGATCAATGGAACAGGATAAAGACCATACACAGATTTAATACATGTAATGATTTAATATGAAATAAAAGGTAATAAAAGGAACTGTTCACCAATACCAAAATTGGAAGTGTAAGAAAAAAAATCAAATAAAAAGGTTCTTTTTTAATGTGCGTGTGTAAAATACATGTATATGTATATAAAATGCAAATTCATATAAATTGATAAAATTTGGAACACTCCAACAGCAAAGAATCTAAATCAACAGTTTACAAAAGGGATTATATATGGTTAGCCAATGTGAGTAACTATTCAACCACAGTAGAAATTTTAAAAATGTAAATTAGAATGAGATACCAAATTAGCAAAGATCACAAAGATTGAGTGCTAAAAATGATGAGGTGAAACAGATCCTTTCATACAATGTCAATAACTATGTATATTTGGGACCCTGAATTCAATCTTAGGGGGTATATACTCAAATGAAACTGCTAGATCATATGAAAATGCTCTTTAAAATTTTTTAAGGACAGGCCACAGTTTTCCATAGCAGACACCATTTTACATTCCAACCAAAAATCCACAAGGGTCCCAATTTGTCCACCTCCTCACCATCACTTGTTACCTTCTGGGATTTTTTTGGGGGGGGAGGAGGGATAGTAGAGATCCTAACAGGTATGAAGTGATATCTCACTGTGGTTTTGACTTGCATTTCCCTAATGACTAGTGACATTGAGCACCTTTTCATGTGCTTATTGGCCATTTCTATATCATCTTTGGTGAACTGTCTATTCAAGTCCCTTGCCCATTTTTTAATATAATTTTTTTTTTATTGTTGAGCTATCTTTTATCAGATATATGATTCGGAAATAATTTCTACTGTTCTTTTCACTCTGTGCTTATCACTCCATTGATAGACATTTTAAATTTTGATGTCATCTATTTTGTCCTTTTAAAGAAAACAGTTCTCTCTTGTAGCAGACAAGGAAACCAAACAGATTCTAAGCACAGCTGTTGGCCTACAGATGGAGAATGCCATGTGACAAGGCATGTGGACTGCTTAAGAAGCTAGGAAAGGCCCCTGGCTAACAGCTAACCAGGACAGGAAGCATGTGCATTAAAATTACATGAAATGAATGAGCGTATAAGCCAATTCCTCCCTAGAAACTCAGAAAAGAGACCTGTTCAACTGACACCTTGATTTGGACCTATGCAAGAAACACAGCTGGGCCAGGTCAGACATCTGGCTTACAGAACTGTGAGCTAGTATATTTGTGTCACTTTAAGGTGCTATACTTATGGTAATTTTTATATAACACAAGAAAATAATCCATAAAGCATGAATGTGTAGTGTTATATATATATTTTTATATATTAAACAGATACTAAGCTATGTGTATCTTTTAAAGTCTTTTAAAAGTCTTTTAAACTTTTAATACACATGGAAGGGACTTTAAAAGTTTTGAGTAAAAAAAAATTACGAGATGTACAGTCTATCACTCATAAAATTTTAACAATATGGTATATTACTACATGAATTTTTATAAAATAGCAGTATAAAATCATGGAAGGACATACTCATTTCCTGAGAGTCACTCTCCTTTTGGGAAGGTAAAAAGGAAAAGAATGGAATGACATATTAAAGGGAGCTCAATTTCATTTGTAATTTTTTCTTCTTTCTTTCCTATTTAGCATATCAACATTTGTTAGCTCTAGGTAGTAGGTATATGCAACATTTCTACTACTACCTCTGTTTTTGAATACTACCCCTGCTACTACGTATCTGTGATGCTATGTGGGCCAACTTACCAAAGTAACTGATGATTATTTTTATTAAGGTTTCCTTAATGCATTTTCAATTTGACATTTCAAAGAATTGAACTTAATCTTACTTTTGCACTCTCATCAGAAAAATCAGAATTAAGTTTGTTTTAAAATAAATTTAATAAAAATAATCCAGTTTTACATATTTTACATGTGTGGAGTATTTACAAATTCCTTCTACAGCATTTACTTAATGTTTACTATTTCTCCATTATTTGCTTTTTTGACTATTTCCTTCAGTAGTAAAATACTGTCCAGTGATCTCTGTAACTAAAAAATTAGCTTCTTGGGTAATCCTCCTAGGTGAAAAAAAAATGAGGTTGTTCACATTTAATCTTACGGCAATTCTAACCAGTCACTGCATTCCAACACATTCATTTTACTTGCTTTGGTTTGCTAATAAAACTTATTTAACATTAAGCATACAATACATCAATAAAAACTTAAAAGAAAATAAGGTACATACTGGTAAGTTCTCGCAACTCTGAGGTACACTCAAAAGTGCCCATATCCTTTTAAAAAGCTTGATTTAATTATTTTCAGTGGAAACAAATATTGCTAAAATACCACATTCTCTACCACACTTACGAAATAGCTCACAATCTACATTTCTTAGCTGCCCCTCGGTCACTAGCTATATACTACCTACTTGGAGTTTTCTGAATCCATTTCATTTCTTATGAAAATGGAAGTTTTACCTTGTTCCAAGGCCTGTGTTCTCTTCCGTTTTGTTGCTACAACTGGATTTGACTGCTCCTTTAAAGTTTCCAACGGACAGTTTGGTCTTGGCAGCTGACATCCAGGTGTCGGCCCTGGCCGATTACTGAAATACTTAGTTTTCAATGCCTTGAAAAATGGAAGATACCAAGGAAAGTAGGGTTTTAAGTGATTATCTGAACTGTTTTTAAGAGTTGTTGGGAATATTAAAAAACACTATGTGAATACCCCACTTCCAAAACGATATTGATTTCAAGAGTTTAGATGAGCAAACTACTATAAATAAATATATAATAGCTTAAGATCAGCGGGTAATTCTATTACTGTAAGAAAAAGAAACTACAGGGGCACCTCGGTGGCTCAGTGGGTTAAAGCCTCTGCTTTCAGCTCAGGTCATGATCTCAGGGTCCTGGGATCAAGCCCCTCATCACATCAGGCTCTCTGCTCAGCAGGGAGCCTGCTTCCCCTGTCTCTCTCTGCCTGCCTCTCTGCCTACTTGTGATCTCTGTCAAATAAATAAACAAAACCTTAAAAAAAAAAAAGACACTAACTTCTAACTTTTCCACAGTTAAACAGCCTATACTAAATATGAAATATCCTTAGTAAGACATTGTATAACTCAGCTCTCTACACTTTAGGGGCTCTATAGTTCAACATATAAAAAGAGAAACAATACTTGAAAAGAACTTCAAAGTTTGTCACAAAATCTATATGTATTCAAAATTCCAAATCATGTAAATATAAATTCTTGAAAATAAATTTTTTTAAATGATCCAAAAGGTTGGAAACAATGTGTTAAAACCCAAAAATCCACTGCAAATTATTAAAAATTTTACTTGGAAGGAATTGCACAATGTTATTTCTATATTCTACCTGCTCAATGTTCTATGATACAATATTTACTTTGGTCCAAAATTAAAAAAAAAAATAGTTTTGGGGGCGCCTGGGTGGCTTGTTGGGTTAAGCCGCTGCCTTCGGCTCAGGTCAGATCTCAGGATGCTGGGATCGAGTCCCACATCGGGCTCTCAGCTCAGCAGGGAGCCTGCTTCCCTCTCCCTCTCTCTCTGCCTGCCTCTCTAACTACTTGTGATCTCTGTCAAATAAATAAAACCTTTAAAAAAATAGTTTTGGTTTTTTTTTTTTCAATAAAAATAGTTTTATTCTAAATGATAAACTAGTCAAATTCATAATTTATTTGCATCCTATAGCCACAATATTCCTTTTGGATAATCCTTTCGGGAATATAAAAAAGTCCATATAAACTTTTCAAGCATTTCCTCCCACATTCTATTATTTGCAGTAATAACTTAGAGATTCCTGACTTCAAAAGAGTTGAATTTCTACAGTATTTCTTCTAAATCAAGAAGTTCCATAAGTAAATTAAACTAATTCTGAGCTATCAGAGATCTGAGAAAGGAACATTATCTCATTCCAACTTTAAGACAGATATCCATGAGCCAGAACATGCTTTTAAAAATGCATTCTAAGGGGTGCCTGGGAAGCTCAGTGGGTTAAAGCCTCTGCCTTCAGCTCAGGTCATGATCCCAGGGTCCTGGGATCAAGCCCCGCATCGGGCTCTCTGCTCAGCGGAAAGCCTGCTTCCTCCTCTCTCTCTGCCTACTCGTGATCTCTGTCAAATAAATAAATAAAATCTTTAAAAAAAAAAATGCATTCTAGAGGCGCCTGGGTGGCTCAGTGGTTTACACCTCTGCCTTCGGCTCAGGTCATAATCCCAGGGTCCTGGGATTGAGTCCCACATTGGGCTCTCTGCTCGGCAGGGAGCCTGCTTCCCCTCTCTCTCTTTCCCTCCTCTCTGCCTGCTTGTGATCTCTGTATGTGAAATTAATAAATAAAATCTAAAAAAAAATAAATAAATAAAAATGTATTCTATTAAACTATAACACACATAAGTTGTCACAATTAGTATTTTTCTATAAATTTTACTACTAATGAACAACTTTCTAGATACTCTGACCTAGTCTCAAGTTTCTTTTGATGGAGGTAATAAGTATATGTGTAAAGGTGGGAAGGTAATGATGAGATACTTGTTTGAAATTAGAAAAGAAATTCTGATGGTAAAATATCTAGCATATATGTATTAATGTAGCATTATATACCGCCAAAAACAGATGGCCTATAGAAATAAATGCATTATGGGGCGCCTGGGTGGCTCAGTTGGTTAAGCTGCTGCCTTCAGCTTAGGTCATGACCCCAGGGTCCTGGGATCGAGTCCCTCATTGGGCTCCTTGCTCCGCAGGGAGCCTCTGCCCGCCACTCTGCCTGCTTGTGTGCTCTCTCTCTCTCTCTTTGACAAATAAATAAATAAATAAAATCTTTTTAAAAAAGAAAGAAAGAAATGCATTAGACAATGATTTGGTAGCTTATAATAAACTTAAGTGAAAAAAAATCCCTTTGAATCCTTGGTATAATGTACATTAACATGGTTTGTTAAATATGAAGTCTTGTGACATTTCATTTTAATCAGTCTTACTTTATGAAGTCAAATCATTGTACTGTGAGGCATTCCTGGATTTCCCTGCCCCAATTTTAAATGTTTGTGACACTGTCCTTTTTTGTCTTGTGCTTGTTTTTGAGACAAAGAAAATTGATTCTGCCCCTCCCCTGCCAATCTATAGGGCTTTTATTTTTCTGTTTGGTAACATTTTTCTCTTCTTTTGTAAGAGCAGACATTCTTGGTCTTCCTAATTTTTTTTTGAGTTTGATTCTTATTTCCCTTAAACAAGGATCAGTATCAATGTCTGTTCTGTTTAGAGTATCTTTCAATCTCTTGTAAGCATAAGTTGTATCAAGAACTATACAGGGTGCCTAGACTGCTCAGCTGGTTGAGTGTCTACCTTTGGCTCAGGTCAAGGGCTGCATGGTGGGCTCTCGGCTTGGCAGGGAACCTGCCTCTCCCTTTCCCTCTGTCTACCTCTATCCCTCCTTGTGCTCTCTGTGTCAAATAGATAAAATCTTAAAATAAAAAAATCAAATAAAAATCATACAATTTTTGGGGTGCCTGGCTTGTTCAGTCAGAAAAGCATGCAGCTCTTGATCTCAGGGTTTTGAGTTTGAGCCCCACGTAGGGTGCAGAGGTTACTTAAAAATAAAATCTTTAAAAAAGAAAAGAAGAAGAACTGTATTATTTTCTTTCCCATTATCATTTTCTGATTATGACAATGATCAGCATGGATACTGGGACTGCATTTCTTGGGGAAAAAAACTGAAACACTTTTGGCATTAAGCTTCGCACAACCATTATTTTAACAAGTACAGAATGCTTATTTTTTCTTCTCTAGGTAAACTACTTGAAAGCCAATTAATTATGAAATAAATATGTATTTATATCTTCCTTAACAAAAGTAAATTCTCCTGTTGTTGTGTGTACATGATGTAATTTAATACCAGTCTGAACAGCTTGTATTTTGGGGACAAGATAAAATTTGTTATTCCTTAAAACTAAAACACATCTTTACAGTATTTAAAGAATGTTAGAAAATCTCAAGAAATTCTACTTTTATTTTATCTATGCCAGAATTAAGATTATTCCCATATTTCCTATTAGAAGAAAGATATGCTAAAATACCTGTGTCGCTGTAATTCGAGTACATGGGTTGAATAAGAATAAGCCTTGTATGAGATCTAGCAAGTCGTCTCCTGCTGCAATGAAGATGTGTTGTAACGGGATTCCAGGAAAACTCTTAAATGTCACAAAATCTGGAAGACTACACATGTCCTGTAAAAATATTTATAATTCAAACTTAGGGACTGAAAGGCACATAGCTCTCAAATGAAGAACTAAAACTGTCAAATGGAGAATGTAATGATTTCCATCGAACTGCTTTGCACCATTGTCAAAAATCATTTGGTCAGATTCAGTGACTGTCCTGGGCACTGGACTTTCCATCCTGGAACCATGGCCCAGTTTATTCGTAATCTTGTGGAGAAGGCCTGGTACTGTGAACGCTGCTATGACTTAGCCATTCTGGTACTATGGCAAGGTTAAGCTGGTTACTCTAACCCCTGCTGAGATTCCTATAGCTATTCAGAGCTTGAAAAAATTTGTATACCACAGTTTCAATCAGAAGGTAAAGTCTGATTAAAATCTCTCTTTTCTAATATTTATTCTTAGAGGAGATAGGGCTGTAAGAGAAAGGAAAATCTAAAGGATTACAATTTTAAGAATAAACAAGTGAGGGGTGCCTGGGTGGCTCAGTTAGTTAAGCGTCTGCCTTTGGCTCAGGTCATTATCTTGGGGTCCTGGGATCAAGTCCTTCATCAGGCTCCCTGCTCAGTGGGAAGTCTGCTTCTCCCTCTCAATCTGTCCCTATCCCCGATGCCCTACCCTGTTGCCTGTGCTCTTTATCAAATAAATAAATAAAATCTTTAAGAATAAACAAGTGAGCTTACCTTACTGAACTATAATATATAAAATTTAGCAACTTGAATTATTGTAAATTTTACCCAAGATTTAAGATTTCTTTTTTTGTAGACAATGTAACAGGTTAAAAATATTCAAGGTACTGATATATCTTAACTGTTGGTGAAACTTCTACAAATACACCCTAAATCCACCAAGATGTTGATAAACATGAAATACCCACCAAAATGAATTATCATGTAGCTGTTAAAAAGAAAAAGCTCAGTACTAAATATTAAGTAAAAAGAGTAAGTTGCGGGGGCGCCCGGGTGGTTCAGTTGTTAAGTGTCTGCCTTTGGCTCAGATCATGATCCCAGGGTCCGGGGATCGAGCCCCACATCAGGCTCCCTGCTCAGCAGGAAGCCTGCTTCTCCTCCCACTACCGCCTGCTTGTGTTCCCTCTCTCGCTGTGTCTCTCTCGGTCAAATAAATAAAATCTTATTAAAAAAAAAAAAAAAAGAGCAAGTTGGTTGCAAAAAAGTTATATGGTATGATCCCATTTTTATTAAAGAAAAGACAGAAAATGCAACTCTATGTTTATATGCTTGTGTATGTATCCTCACAACAAGATTTTCTAGCAAACTGACAGTGATTAACCCTGGGATGGGAATTACTGGGATGGAGAAAGGGCAACATGTACAAAGGAGGCTGGACAGTATACCACAATTTTAACTATTTGACATAAATTTTTCAAAGTATGTATTACTAGTAACTTAAGAAAATGAATACATTTCTTTAAGTAATACCTACATGACAGTAACATAGAGTCCTAACAAAATTTCAAAGAACATGTATGAAGGCTTACCGGCCACTGTTCTTCAGTTGGTGTGCCCAAAGTTTCAAATATTCTTGTTAGTTGATCAAGGTCTGAATCTCCTGGCAAAAAAGGAACCTGGAAGAGAGTGAGATGTAGGTATTTCAAGGTGGTTTATAATAGATACACAAATAATACTACAAATTCCATAAAAAAACCAAGCTGTAACAAAAATAAAAATGAAGTCTGAGGTATACCAGATGTGTCACTAGATCCTACTGCTGCTAATCAAATGAAGAGCACCGTGCTTCCCATTGTATTCACTCCACAAATCTTTAATAAACACTATGTAGTAAGTATGTGGTAATTAATTAAACCCTAGGCATTTAAAGTAGAGAACAAGACAAGGACACTTGAGTTCCTCAGTCAGTTGAGTGTCCAACTTTTGATCTCAGCTCAAGTCTTGATCTCAGAGTTGAGACTCAAGCCCCACACCCGGCTCCATGCTGGGTGTGGAACATACTTTAAAAAAAAAAAAAGAAAAAAGAAGTGAACAAGACACTTCTTGCTCTCCCATGGGGTGGCTGTGGGGAATGCTGGTAGTACAACTAAAGGGGCATCTCCCAGATGATGTTTTCAGGGAGAGCACAGGATCCTAGCATACACAAAACAGCACCTACCCTACTCTACAAAAGCCAAGGAAGGCTTCCTAGAGGAAGAACCAACCAGTGAAAGTTGAAAAATGAAAGAGTTAGCCGGAGGAAAAGTGTTAAGATGGAGGAAAATTATTCTAGCTAAAGTACAGGAGCAGGGGCGCCTGGGTGGCTCAGTGGGTTAAGCCTCTGCCTTCGGCTCCAGTCATGATCCTACGGTCCTGGGATCGAGCCCCACATTGGGCTCTCTGCTTGGTGGGGAGCCTGCTACCCCTCTCTCTGTCTCTGCCTGCCTCTCTGCCTACTTGTGATCTCTGTCAAATAAACAAATAAAAAATCTTTTTTTTTTTTAAAGATTTTATTTATTTATTTGACAGATAGAGATCACAAGTAGGCAGAGAGGCAGGCAAAGAGAGAGAGAGGAGGAGGCAGGTTCCCTGCTGAGCAGAGAGCCCGACGCGGGGCTCAATCCCAGGACACTGGGACCATGACCTGAGCCGAAGGCAGAGGCCCTAACCCACTGAGCCACCCAGGCGCCCCAACAAATAAAAAATCTTAAAAAAAAAAAAGAAAAAAAAAAAAGTACGGGAGCAAAGGCTGGCAGGCAGAACATCTATATTACAATCTTATTTAAATAATATCTTGGCATACTATTTCTCTGAAGAAGTATAATGGCAAACTTTATTTTTTTTTCAAGATTTTATTTATTTATTTGACAGGCAGAGATCACAGGCAGGCAGAGAGAGGAAGGGAAGCAGGCTCCCTGCTGAGCAGAGAGCCCGATGTGGGGCTCGATCCCAGGACCCCGGGACTATGACCCGAACCGAAGGCAGAGGCTTTAACCCGCTGAGCCACCCAGGCGCCCCTAATGGCAAACTTTAAAAGGATAAATGATAAGTTAAAAATTAGAAACTAGTAAATAATTAAAATCCTTGCTATATATATAGATATTATTTTCCAATTCATCCTCAAACATCTTCATAAATATATAGCAGAGTAAAAAAGAGTTTGCTCTGTGAAGAGAGACTTTTCATACAATTACAGGCCTTGAAAAAATTTATCAGCTCAATGAGAAGATGAGATTAAGTACCAGCTTTCCCACATTTCTATTACTGTCGACTACTACCACCACCAGCACCAACCCCTGCCAAAAAAGCATTTAATTCTGCCAGTTATCAAGCTCATCCATTTTGCCTTTTCTAAGAAAATAGATTTGGGCCTTTAAATGTTTTACTTTTGCCAGCTAAAGCAGTCAGCAGATGCTGCTTGATAAACACTACAGGAAGATTTTGCTTTCTGGCTCTAGCTCGTATGCCCAGCTGACTCCTGCGGCACTCTCAGCTTCTCTACCAACAGGTTCCCACAAATGTGGGCAGTTTCTTCAGTGCCCAATGCACAGAGCAGCTTCCCTCTACAGAGGGTTGTGTAGCAGAGTGCCTCCAGAAAACCACCTCCCAAAGAAGAGCTTTCCTCTGCATGCAAGACAGACTTTCAACAAGTTCTGCCAACACAGCTCTATAGCAACTTCTCTATCATCAGTAAGCCACACTCTGCACATTACAAGGTCTAGAATTCAGTCCCTGGGTCCTATTCCTTGGGTGCTCTGTATTAGTCCTAGGGTGGCTGCTCCTTTTGTCTACTCCTATATGCTTTAAAATAGTCTCTTTACCTTTTCTTCTTTGGTTTATTCATTTTAGAGAGAGACAGAACTCAAACTCGTGAAGGGGGGAGGGAGAGGAGAGAGAGTCTTAAGCAGATGCGGCACTGAGCAGAGCCCACTGTGGGGCTCAATCTCACAACCCTGAGATCACGACCTGAGAAGAAATCAAGAATCAGACACTTAACCATATGCACCATGCAAGATCCCCTCTCATTACTTTTTATTAGTCAATTCTTCATTATTCCAATTGATAATCATAGTTAATTCTTAATATTAAACTTCCCTTTTTAATGTGTGGATTCTATTTTCTGACTGGATCCAGATTTAATATAATCCCTTTGTATAACACTAGACTATTATGTATATGAAATGTGTACCCAAAAAAAGAAACCTGAAGTTATACTAACACTGCATGAATATTTTTAGGCATGCTAATATTTTTACTTTGAAGACTACTAAAATAAATTGTACTATGAGATCTGAAGAGGGGGGGCGTGGGTGGCTCAAATGGTTCAGCATCTCCCTTTAGCTCTGGTCATGATCCCAGGGTCACAGGATCAGGTCCCATGTTTAGCTCCCTGCGCAGCTGGGAATCTGTTCCTCCCTTCCCTTTGCTCCCCGCCACCACTTGTGCTCTCTCAAATAAATAAATAAAAATCTTAAAAAAAAAATCTGAAGAAAAGGACCCTCATTGAGGGAGGAGCAAGATGGTGGAGCAGTAGGAAACCTAAATTTTGTCTAGTCCCAGGTATTCAGCTAGATAGTTATCAAACCATTCTGAACACCTACAAACTCAACAAGAGACTGAAGAAAAGAACAGCAGCAAATCTATGAACAGAATAGCGACCACTTTCTGGAAGGGTAGACATGCAAAAAAGAGAATCCAAGGTGATATACAGGAAGACAGACCATGGAGGGAGCCTCAGCAAATGACAGAGCAGCAGAGCATGAAATCAGAAGTTTTAGAAGTCTGTTCCACTAATGGACATCACTCCAGTGGCTAAGCGGGGGGATGGAATCCTTGCTGGAACAGTGTGGTCTCAGGACCCTCAGGCTCACAAAAAGGCCAGGTGTGCCAGAGTGAGGCAGAGTTCCTAAGTATCGGAGCAGGGAAGCCAGCTGCAGAGATGGAGCCAAGGAGTGGGCTCTCAGCTTGCTGTTGCCATAAACTGGATCCAAGGTACAGTCGGGCAACTGCTCTTTGAGCAGGGACTCAACAAGTGGCAGATCCTGGGAGACTTCCCTTCCTTCCCAGGGAGAAGCAGCACTGGAATGCGCTGCAGGAATCGTCTGGGTTTGGAAACTCCAACCGGGGCTGTGTGTCAGAGATAAAAATGCTCGGTCACAGGCTGGGCAAGCACAGAGTGCCTACGGAGACCAGGGAGACAGGTGTGATTGACTGCTTTTCTCTGAGGGATCACTGAAGGGGGAGGCCCGAGCTTTCGGCTCCTCCAGGGTTGGAGATTGGGAGGCTGCCATTTTCATTCCTGTCCTCCACAGCTGTACAGAAAGCTTTCGGGGAATGAAAGCTACCGAAAAGCAAACCTGAACAGATTATTTAGCCTAGCCCCTGGCAAGGATGGAGCAATTCTGCCTAGGGCAAAGACATTTGAGAATCACTGCAACAACCCCACCCCTTGAAGATCAGCAAAAACATCCAGGCAAGACCAAGTCTGCCGACCAATGAGAACTGAAAAACTCCTGTGTTAGGAGAATACAGCACATAGAATTTACAGCTTTTTCCCCAAGATTCTTTTGTCTTTCAAAGTTGATTTTTAAAATTTTCCTTGTTTTTTTCTTCTATTTTTAATTTTTCCTCTTTCCCATTTTAACCATCCTACCATATCAATTACTTTTTAAAAATTTTTAATTTTCATTTTTACAGTCATTCTATCTCTTCATTATATTTAACCTTATTTTTTGTATCTATATATATGTTTTTCTTTATTTAAAATTTTGAGATACAGTTTCTTCTAACAGTCCAAAATATATCCTAAATCTAGTATATGGCTTTGTTCTAGTCTCCCACCTGACCACATTCTTTTTTTTTTTAACTTTTTTTCTTTATTTTTTCAATCAACTTATCAATTATTTTTTTAAAATCCTTTTAAATTTTCATCTTTACAGTCATATTCCATCCTTTCATCATATTTACCTTTATTTTGTGTGTATGTATGTACATGTGTGTGTGTGTGTGTGATTTTCATATATATATACACATGATTTTCTTTCCTTAAATATATATACATGATTTTTTTTCCTTAAAATTTTGGGAGGCAGTTTCCTTTAATAGACCAAGATACAGCCAAAATCTAGTGTGTGGCTCTGCTCTGTTTACCAGCCTGATCACATTCTTCTTTTTCTTTCCCCTTTCTTTCCTCCCCCATTTCAGTTCTCTTCTGATTTTTTAGTGTTTATTTTTCGAGGGTAGTTGTTACCTTTTTACCATTTTGTTCTCTCATTCATCTACTCTTCTCTGGACAAAATGACACAACGGAAAAACTTAAAGGAAAAAAAACAAAACAAAACAAAACAAGAGGCAGTACCGACCACCAGGGACTTAATCAATAGGGACATTACAAAGATGTCAGAACTAGAGTTCAGAATGATGATTATAAAGATACTAGCTGGAGAATCCCTTTCTAGAGAAATAAAAGAACTAAAATCTAACCAAATCGAAATCAAAAAGGCTATTAATGAGGTGCAATAAAAAATGCAGGCTCTAACTGCTAGGATAATTGAGGCAGAAGAAAGAATTAGTGATATAGAAGACCAAATAATGAAGAATAAAGAAGGTGAGAAAAAGAGAGATGAACAACTACTCA